CATATTTTTTTTTTACTGCATCCTGTAATAGAATTTTTGAATTTAAAACATTACTCACTAACATAAATAGAAAGTACTCAATTATTTTTATTTAGAGAAATTTTAATTCAGTTAAAAATAATTATAAATCAATGATAAATTTTATAAACATTAATAATTAAATTACTAAACTCTTTCATCAATTTATAATAATTTTGTGAAAATATCATAGGGTGGTAATTTTTCTTTTTTATTTTATTATTTATAAATTTTGTTAATGTGTACTCTAAAAGCAGATAATAAGAAACTTATAAAAATTGTAAATTTTGTATAAAAATGAGTGTAATGGAGAATGAATAATTCTTTTAAACTCTCTTAAAGACCTTTTTTTCTTTTCTTTTTTAATATTTTATATATATTTATATTTACTAGTACCCACACAAAGATTGTTTGAACATAATTACTAAAATTTGCTTATACAGATTAAGATTTTAAGAAATCATTTCAAGAACTCAAAAAGATAAAAATAAATAAATAAATGATTTCGTTACTTCATAGTTTACCAAAATTCAGTACACAATTTTTAAAAATATAAAATTATATGAAAACAATGATTTAAATGCAACAAAATTTCACTTAAATGTTACTCTTCTTACATTTTTAATTGCAAAGTTACTAATTAAACTTGCATAATCAAGCTTATCTATTATATCCTTTTTAATGGATAATATAATAAACTGCAAAATTACTAATTAAACTTTACTCTTTTTAATTTTTTTTGTTTGGTTGCTAGTTGAATTTAATTTTTTTTTTTTTTTTGGACCTTTTGGATTTGGTCTCCATTTGAGTGATGCTTATTAAGAATATTTTAATTTTGAACTTAGTATAAAATGTATAAATTTTTTGGATCCCAATTTTGACATAATTTGAATTTAAACTTTTTGTTTTAAAATGATAGACTCAAAATTAAGAGTGATAATGGGGCGGGCCCATGTAGGGATCCACTCATATTAGATTGAGAGAGATATATCAAGGAGGTCATAGAGTCCCGGTAGGTAACTCGAAAAATTAGATGCTCGAATGGCCCGAAATTTCAAAACAACGTCGTATTGGATTTTTTTTTTCCCTTATAACTCACAGAAAGAAGAAAGAAGAAGAAGAAGAAGAAAGAAAGAAGAGAATAGGAGATCTGGAAAATATATACAGATATATGCAAATCTAGAAAATCCATGAAACACACAAATCAAAGCCCCTTTCACACACACAGATCTGGAAAATCAAAAGCCGCCCACAAATCAAACCCCCCCACATGCATACATATACAGATCTGGAAGCCGAATCCATGAAACACACATACATATATACACAGTGGTGGTCGCAGCAATGGTGGTGACAGAGTGGTGTAGCAACGATAGTGGTGGTCGCAGCAGTGACGGAAGAGGAAGAGGGGACGGCGAAGACGATGACATGAGAAGATTGGCTCCCCCTCACTCTTTTCTCTTTCTTCTCTCTTCTCTCTTCTGTCTTCTCTCTCTTTCTCCCTTCTCTGTTTCGTTTCACAATCTCTGTTTCGTTTCACAGATAAAAGAGGATGGAAAAAAAGAGAAGAATCAAAACGACGTCGTTTTGAATTCATGCCACTCGAGCCTTAGGACTTTCGAGCTCTCAAGCATTTCTTGGGTGTCATAGGGTTGGGATGGAAATGAGATAATTTTATAATCTTAAGGATGGCGGTATTAATAAAAATAAGAGACAATATAGTATATTATAGATAATAATTTATAGGTCATGCTAAGGGTTGTTAATAAGTACCCATAACAAGATCAAAAAAATTATAATCCCATTACATTTTCCATATATTCCAGAATATTTTTACACATTTCAATACACTTTTAATATACATGTTACACACTTTTTCAACACTATCAATAAGTCTTAGGGCTTATCTATAATAATAATAATAATAATAAGCCTTAGGGCTTTTATTAGCATTTTTCATAGCTTATAAATAATGAGACTTAAAAAATGTAAAATGAAAAATAAAGAAATGAAAATGAGTGTTTTAAGTATAATATTTAAGTGTTTTAGTCTTATAATATTTTAAACAATTAAATTATATATATTATATAAAACTATATTTGATTAGTATAATGGAGATGAGGGTGAGAATAGGAAAATGCGTTCCAACGGGTAATTCTATTTAAACATCCTAACTTATCTTAGTGTGCATCATTTACTCAATTTACGCCATACACAAATTAAAACTTTTAATTTTGTCTCAATACACGTCAATAATTTTCAGATAATACTAAACTACCCTCATCTTCTCCAACAAATCATAACCCTAACCATTGTTGGCAACCATCGCCTCTCACCGGCGTCGTTCCATTCTCAACCTGCCACGGCCGTCGCCCCTCTCCAGCCTTCTCCCACTCCCGCGCACTGTTTCCTCTTCTTCATCACCACCCTCAGATCGGATCTGTAAAGAACCCAGTTGATCTCAGACTTCACACCCTCGCCGCCACTCCTCTATCGACCACCTCACCCCAAGTAGCTTCTCCTCACTGCAACTCGTGCCGCTCTTCTTCGCCGCTGACGAAGATCTGAAAACCCTTGGCTAGAATGAATCGCGATGGCCAGAGTGATAGAGAAAGAGAGAACCTAGCTCACCACTCTGTTTCTTTTTGTCCAAACTCCCAATTCTTTCTCTCCTCTCTTTCTCTAAAAGTAACGACACCAGCATCTGAGCAACACAACTCCAAAATGGTCTATGTAATGGATGTCGGGCAAGAGAAGAGGAATGCTATGAAGGTGGTGATGATCAGAAGGGAGGGAGGTGATTGCCGGTGGTTAGAAATGGCAAAGGTTAGGGTTGAGTTGGGTGGTTGGGTGGATAGGTGGGAGAAAGGGAGGGGCATGTTGGTAATTTGATTGAATGATAGAAATGTAATAAAAAAAATTTAAAAAAAGGATGTGCATTGAGTTAATCAAATGCATAGAAATAAAATTTCCCCGTTCCCACCCTATTTTCTCATTGAAGTGATATTGAGAAAAATTACGATCTCTATTCAAAACTCAAATAAGTTATTATATTTGAATTTTCTATGTAATTTATTTAATGTTTTAGGTACATGCACGAAATAGAATAGTGTGGTGTGTTCTTATGGGATGGATTGAGATTTTTCTTCTAGGTGGACCTCTATTTACCATAAAAGTTCTTGAAGTGGACAAGTCACAATTTTTTTTTTGGTAACATACCAGTTTTCTAACAAATGTAAAATATACCTAACTTATGCAACACAGAAATATGTGCAAATGTTATAAATTTATAAATTTATATTTAAACTTTTAGATAGTTTTTGATAAATAAAAAGAATTATTTAACAATGTTAGTCGGTTTGATTAATAGGAAAAATCATTTAGCAAATATTAAATATGATAGTGATTGTATGTAGAACGTGTTCCTTCTTTTCTTTTTTTTTTTTTAAATGTGACATCCTTCATTTATATAATAGAATACATTGCATGTTTATTTGTGTCAAAATTACAATATCAAATTTAAATTTTACTACAAGTCTTAATTTTTTATTTATTTGTTTTTTTTTATGAGAAAGCACAAGGTTTAGGGAGCAACTTGCCTCTAGTCTTTAATCGGATTGGACGGTGCTGTTCGGCCTGTAGAAGCTCATCACGAGTTTCGTTTTGATAATCCGAACCGTTTAATGTGTATAACTCGTCGACTATTATATGCTTATAAAAAATCATATTGATCGGATATCGATAGCTATGTGATCAAATCAGTTTTGTATAAAAAAAGACAGTGAACAAATTAACGGTTGAAAAAAAACTAATAAGATGAGATAGCAATCGATATTCGATCAACGTGATTTTTACAGGTATATAGTACTCGACGAGTTCTACATATTGAACGGTTCGGATTATCAAAACGAGACCTGTAGTGGGCTCTCAAGGGCCGAACAACATTGTCCAGTCCGATTAAAGACTAGAGGCAATCTGCTCCCCAAGGTTTAATATATTATAAAATAAATCATCTAATAAAATAGATCCTAAATGGATAAAAAGAACCTCTACGCAGAAAAGATATGAGTCTCCACATCAGGAGAAAAAATAAACCTCAACGCAAGGAAGATGAAGCCTCTACATAAAGAGAGATTATTGCAATACAAAACAAAAACAAAAACAAAAACCAAAACCAAAACCAAAACGATCACCACCAAATAAACAATACCAATCACCTTGATAATCTGTTCATTGTCACAACTGATAGCTTTGATACCTTAATTCCCGCATCTACGTTACAAAATAAAATATTTTAGATCTGAGGTAGTTGCTTAGCGTATAACAACACGTTTAACAATATCGAATCTCGATTATGAATTAGATCTGAGTCAAGATCTGAAAACTTCCTTAGTTGTAAGCCAATGATGGAGGCAAGAGCAGTGGTAGTGGCTAATACAGTGATAGAAACAATAGGAGAAAAATCAGAGGGAAGAGGAATGCCAAAAATACCACCTTTTCCTCCCTAAAGAACATATAAAAGAAAGAGCGGCTAGAATTTCTTAGGAAAAGAGACGAAATAGAATTTCTTTCTGAGTTTTATTAATGTGTGTTTTTAGGTCATCTATTAAGATGTTTAAAAAGATTATACATTTTTCATTACACATAATTTTTCATACAAAATATAATCAAAATGACATAACTTGACAATATTACTCCAACAATAAACATCTTTTACACTAAAAAGTAAAACACAACAAGAAAATAAAAAAATAAAAAATTATTTTCAAAATTTGGTATTATCATAATTTGACTTAAAAACAACATACCAAAAAAACAGTTAAAGTTTCAACAAATTATTGTCAAATTTTGACTTCGCCCTCGCACACCATTAAAACTAGCCTAATCTTGTATTTTTTTCTTTTTTCTTTTTTCTTTTTTGTCAATATAAAACTAGTCCAATTTACCACTAATTTTCCTTTTATTTGAAGGCTCTTTTTTTAGATCAAATGCATTTTTTTTTCCACAACACACAAACACCACCTTTTCCATTCTCACTCCTCTTTCCGGAAGAACAGGACGAAACGTCGATACTCACACAAACCAGAAGAGAGAGAGAAAGAAGAAGAAGGGAGAGAGCACGAATTCAACGACACCACTCAACGCAAAACACCACCAGATCTAGGGTTTGTACATACCCAATCTGATCAATTTTTTTTCTTTTTCCTTCAATCTTGTTCATGTTCAATTCAATCGGCAAAAATTTGGATCCGTTATAATTTTTCTCTCAATTTCGTTTCAGATCTAGTGGATATACATTTCAATATGTATATATATGTGTAGCTCCAATGATGTATTATTATAGATGCAGCAAGTGATTTGTCGGGGTTTGTTTAGGGTTTTCGAAGATCGCATCGAGTTTCTGATGGAGAGAGAAAAGCACGACAATGGTAATTTTTACTATCTTAATCATCATCATCATCATCAGGAGGTAGATCGAGTGAGCCCTGATCGAATGATTTCATCATCATCGTCATCATCTTCATTGTTGGCTCGTCCTAGTACTCCTCCAATGCCTCCCTCTTCTTGTTCGCCTGTTGGTGGTCTTAGTTACATTGAACATCGCGTTTCCAAGATGGATACACTCGCTGGCGTCGCAATCAAGTATGGTGTTGAGGTAATTAAAACAAAATTGGAAGTCTAAAATTTTAATTCCATTAATTTCATTATCTTTTTTGTTTTCTGGCTTTTTTAATGCGGTTTTGTTTATTTTTTTCATTATTATTATTGATTTTCTGTATGAGAATGGTCATTTAATCAATGCGTTTTCGTGTAGACACCGAATGCTATAGTATTCAGACATGGGTTAGAATGGGATTTCCTTTTGTTCTGTTTGGTTGCTAAGAAATTTCAGGAAATCGTTTAAGCTTTAATGTGTTTGGTATCATTGCATCACACACAAGAAGGAAAATAACAAAAAGAAATAGAAAAACGAAAAGTGAAAGTGGAAAATGAGTCTGATTAATACGACTTTTTAACATAATTGAGAGAAGCACATCTTGGTTGCGATTGTGATTGGTCTGCTAAATTTTTCCTTATGGGGAGGTGGATGAAATTTATGTCAGATACATGAATAGGACAAATATTCTGTTAAAAACTTCTTGTAGTTGTATTAGTTTGACTGTGAAAATTTTTAGTTGGATGAAGCAATTAGTTTTTTCACATATATTGCCAAAAGTTGTTTTGTTTGATGGTGTGGTTTTACCTTTCTATCTCTCAGAATTACTGTCCATTTGTGGGTATGGATGTTTACATGTTGGGTTTTTATTAAGGTTGATTACCATGCATTCTTTGTTTTCACTTCCTTTTTTTGAATTGCTCAGACAGTAGGATGGCTGACCAGTTTTCTTTAACATGCAATGGTGTATGTTAGGTGGCCGACATTAAAAGGTTAAATGGCCTTGTGACGGATCTCCAAATGTTTGCTCTCAAGACGCTTAACATTCCACTACCAGGGAGGCACCCCCCATCTCCCATTCTGTCTAATGGTTTAGATAGTCAAGGGTATTTATATGTCCATTTTACGTTTATTATTATTGTTCTTTTTAGCCCCATTTATTTATGAGTTTCATTTGTGTTTGTTGTTCTGATGTATGGTTTATGTTTTTAATAGTTTATAAATGTGCTATGTCTTACAGGTTGAATTTTTGACCATGTGTGTCTTGCTTACTAGTGTTGCTATGCTATCTCACTACACCCTTTATCTGTTTTTCTTGTCTGTTGTTAGCTGAAATATATCATAATAAATTGTTGGTAGTTGTTTTGAGGTTTAATTTCACCATTATTATTTTTTTTCTTATCAGTGTTCCAATTATCTACTTTTTGTTTTTGGTTGATAGACGTAATTCAATCAAAAAATGTACAAAATTTTCAAGGCAAACCCCAACCAAACGTCAAGCTTAGGCGTGTACCTAAGACCAAAGCATAACCAGCAGTAGTAACTAGCAGTAACAAAACTGCAAGAGAAACTGATAGTTTAATCAACGCAAAGGTTGAGCCTAATTTCAATTCATAGCGTATCAAAATGGAGCATGATTACCTGGATAATCAATCAAGAATTCACGAATGATGATTAAATGTAGTAGCAGTTAGATTGCAGTAGAAACACCCACCACTTAGCTTATAGGTCCCAATTTACTTTGCTATTCACCTGTCTAATTATCTTTGAAAAGTAAAAATTAACACTGGAAGTTGGTCCTTGAGACATGCTTTTTTAGTTTTTCTAGCCTTTGGATGCACAATCTTGAACAGAAGTTTTCATCCTGTGACCAAGATATTAAGGAGAAGCCTGGATGGCTTGAAACTATCTTCCCTTTAACAGTTTCATGTTCATAACAGACACTTGGTCATCAACACTGTTTATCAGAAAGTGAGATGATAAGAATAATAATTTGACCAGTGAAAATGTGATTATAAAATGTAATTCACATTAAAAAAGAACTGAACCAGTCTTAATTAAGCACATGACAGAACAATAGCTCAAGTTGTCTGTTTGATGAGGCAGAAAAGGAAAGTACAATACTTAAGATATTTTCAGCCTTTGCCTATTTATCTAATTATCTAATGCTTAGCAAATTAGCTTTTCTTTTGAAAGGTTAGTCAAAAATTATTTTTTATTGTTAAATAAGAGTTGTCACATATTAATATCACATATTAATATTTTTCTCAACCGCTTCATCTGGGACAGGGTGAGACAGGACAAGGTGTCAGAGATGTAATTTTTTGTACTACTACTATCAATATTATTTGAAAAGGAGAAAGGGGTAGTCTGTCCAAGTTGAAGGGACTACAATAAGAAAGGAGGGTCAAAAATGTCACAGATTGGGTTTGCAAAGAAATGATAGGATAGCTATCTGCTTATTGAAAAAGCTGCATCATTTAAATTAGGGCTGTTCACGGGTCGGACGGTTCAGGTTTATAGGTGGAACCGTGACTTGAACCGTCTCTTTTAGGTTGGAGATTTCACTAACCATCGTTGACCAACGTTTTGTTCGAAGCAGACCCTCTCTCTCATTCGTTTCGGACAGTTTCAAATAGTTGGTTATTCTTTCCCCCTCTACTTTAAACCCTAGCAAATGCATAAAATATGTAGATATACATGTATATACATACAGATCTGGGTTAGAGAGGAGTAGAGAAAAAACAGAAGATAAACTTATTTGTGAAAGCTACCATAGTTGCTGTCGTGACCACCTTGATTCATTTTGCAACAACTGCCACAGCGCCTTCATCATCTCTGTATTGGGAAGAGATGTTTTAGGGTTTCTATGAGAGAGAGAACGATGAGTCGGATTTGGTTGATAAATGAGTTGTGTTTCTGACTATATTAGGGGGAAAAGAGCATATATTTTGTAATTAGTGTTTTTTAGAAAAAGGCTGTGTTTAGGGCCAAAATTCTAAATTTATGAAGTGTGATTAGGTTAGAAACTCGAACATACAGTGGTTTGTGAGCACAATTGTGCTTAAAGAATGTGATTATGGTAGCTTGGGAGTACTATGAAAGAATGGCATCAGTGTTTCTGGTGTTGGAGTGGCAGTTGTGATGATGGGTTAGTTGGAGTAGCGGTTGCGGTCTCAGGGTGCGTAATAACAGTGGATGTAATAATGGAAGGGTCACCGTGGCTGGGTTGGTGGTGGGGCAGTGGTGTTGGAGTGGTTCCTTGATTGTTGAAAGTCTAAAACATTGTTAGCTGTGTTTGTGTCATAATGGTGAGGTGATTGGGGAAGGATGATTGCAAATTTGCAAGAACTGTTGAATTGAGTCCCAGAACAAGATCCTTCTTCTTGTTTATTAGACTCTGCTCATTTTGAAGGAATTAAATTACTTCTATATTAGGATTACAAATTGCTATTATATAGTACCAGTTTGGGTTTGTACCCCAAACTCAAGGAACTGAGTTGACTGAAATTGATTCTAATTTAAAACCGGTTACATGGGTATATTACATGATGCTGAACAATGCGTTGTTGTTTGCTGATTAAATACAACCCTTCTTTTTGTGGGTTTTCTTGGAAATGTAAACATTTTTTGTAACTGGATTTTTAATGGTATTTTTGATATAGCTAAACGAGCATGTCCTTGTTTCCTGCCAAATGTTGTCTGACCTTTTAGTTCGTTTTTGATGTGTGTTGTATTCAAGTGATCAATTCATATAAAGCTGAATTTTATTTGGAACCCTTCTTTACTACTTTTACTACACCCCAAAACACACTTGTGACTGCGGTGTAGGAAAATAATCTGATTTTAACTTGGAAGTAGTAGGGAGGTTCTTTTGAGTTTATTTTCTCTCAAGTGATGTTATGCTTTTTATGAGATGGTATCTGATTGAGAGTCCTTATTATGAATTATGATTAATGTTTTTGCAGACCCAGCAGCTTTGAGGAGACCCCACCTCGCCGTAGGCAGTCTGATTTGTTTGATTCATTTGAGTCGCTGAAACTTAAATCTTCTCCTCAGCGAAGGGTTTCCCCGGCCATGAGCAATTTGCAAGGATATTACGGTCTAAAACCAGCTGATCAAAGACGCGCATCTGAAGGCTTTGAAATGGTTGTTTATCGAAAAGGGAGTTCTCATTATTTAGAGGACGGACCATTTAATAAACCTTCTCCTCTTTCTAACCCGCCTTTGAGACATCATAGAAAATGTAAGAGTGTTGCAAACGGTTTCTTCTCAGAGAACGACGAACTAGCTGATGGCTTCACAATTACAGAAGCCCGGGAAGTTGACTCTGATAAATGGAATGAGAAGTTATTTAGAAGGCGTCAGAAATCTGAAGCCGACTTTAGTATTCACAATCAAACACCAGAAAAGCTGTTGAAGGATGATAACAGCAGCAGTGGCGGATTTTCAGCGATAACAGGAAAGGGCTTGGCTCTCCGACCCAAGGCAGCTAATCGAACTGCTGCAGGAGTTGAGGCAGAACCGGGTTTCTTGAACCGTATTCCCATAGCTTTGGCAGATTCTCTCGTTGCGGATGGTTTTAATTCTGTAAGGAAATCGTCTAGTACATCAAGTTTGCACGAGCAGGAAAATAGCACATCTTCTTTGTTGGTCTGGCCCACATCAAAATGGAATTTGAAGCCGGATCTACAGGCCCTGTCTACTGCAGCGGTCACTGGCTTGCCAAAGCCAACAACAGGTCGCAAAAACAAAGCTGCACTCGATTAGTAAAAATTCCCTTTTGTGTAGATTCAATTTTTAGTTTAATTGATTTTGGTTTTCATATTTTGTTGGGCCGATCATATTATTAAGAGGTGATTAGATAGATAGAGGGACAGGTAAAGTGGGAAGTAATAAAACCGTTTTGATCGATATTGAATATGGTATCATTTATCGTTGGCTGACTAAAAGAACTTGATATTATCGTTGTTTTTGGGAGTTGATTTGCAAGCTAGAAATGAAAGGGTTGATGATAGCTGCAGTAGAAATTAGAACTACAGCGTTGACAAGAGCGAGTGCTCCGGGATTTATTCTGCCATACAAGTTTACAATTATAGATTTTTGCTACAAAAAAGGTGTGTATGCATTTGCAAACCTTTACAGGAGAGAATGTATATTAGATTTTATTGGGACTCTTATTTCTATTGAAATGGAGGAAAAAAACAATACTGTTATATATATGTATTTATCTTTTATATTCTTTTGCTTTTGTTTCAGCCTCTAATATGTATATTTACTAGACAACGGACAGCCCATTTAATTTAGAATCCACCAATATCTCAAATTAACATTTTTTCTTTTCTTTTCTTTTCATCACAATAAAATTGGAGATCTATAAACATCTTGTAACTAATTTGTTGTTTTTTCTTTGGCTAAATGCTAGCTATATATGCACGTAGATCATGCTAAAGGAATTAGTTGGGAAACCCTACATTTGATGAGTTGTGTGGGTGTTCCATTTTGTGTTGTTTGCGCTTGTGTTGTGTTGTGTTGCTAATCAAAACATGCCACATCATGGCAAGATCACATAAATTAAGTAATTATTCATTAATATTCCACATGATGGGACAATGATAACACTCTTTGGTTAGGTAGTTTAATGGTGGGAGATAGCTCATCTAGTATTTTTGGTTGTTCCTCATTTGCAGAGAATATTACATTGATAATATCGCATGACAGTTGGAGACTATCTAATAATATTTTTTGTCAAGTGAATAAATTTTATTGATTATAGTCCTTCACTTTAAATAGGACCATCACGCTAAAAAAGCAATGAATGAGTGTGATTGGTTGTAATTTGTGAACAAAATAGTTTTTCATAAATTGTAAAATAATATATATATATATATATATATATATATTTTTGATCGACGAAAATTAATTATTTGTTTGTTAAATTAGTGCTTATGATAGTTAGCAGTCAGGCTCCCCATCCGTTGTAAAAAAATATTTATAAACAAACAAATTGATTGTAATTATTTTATAATATATCCATATATATTAAATTAATTGTAATGCATTTATAGTAACTACAATTGAAATTAGATCATTCAGGTCATTTATAAATCCAAGCCTTGCATTGTGGGTTATTTATTTATGGGTAAATTACACTGACACCTCCTAAGATTTATGTTTACTATAATTCTTCCCTCACATTTGGAAAATTACACTAACCCCCCTGTTTATTTAATTTTATGTATGATGATCATTACGGTGAGGGCGGAACTGTAATGAAACTTTAAACCTCAGGGGACAATCTGTAATGAAACTTTAAACCTTAGGGAGGGAGATGTAATTTCTAAAAGGTGAGGGGGAAACTGTAATAAATATAAACCTCAAGGGGTGTCAATGTAATTTACCCTTTATTTATTATTTAAATTTAAAATTCATAACTTTAATTCTATGTATTTGTTTTGGATAAAATTACTATTTTCAAATTTCATTTTCCAATATTTTCTAAACAAGACCATGAATATCAAACCAAACCAAACCAAACCAAGCTTTAAGTCTCATCAAATGGGGTTGATTACATGAATACTTATTCTCCATGCGGCTTTATCAAAGGTCATTTCGTTAGTCAAATTAAGTAGATCTACATCTCTATTTACAACACTAGCTAACATTAATCTAGACCTACCCGGTCCCTTAACTGTTCCATCTACTGTCACTGTATCGCATCTCTTTATTACTGCCTCTATTGGTCTCCGTTGAATATGACCAAACCATCTTAATCGATTCTCTGTTAACTTATCGTCAATCGGTGCTACTCCTACCCATTCCCAAATATACTCATTCTTAATTCTGTCTTTTTTAGTTTTGCCACACATCCACCTTAGCATCCTCATCTCAGCAACACTCATCTTATCGACATGTTATTTTTTTGGTTGCCCAGCATTTCGTCTCATACAACATTGCTGGTCTAATAGCCGTTCTATAGAACTTACCTTTTAGTCTAGTGGTTATTCGTTTATCACATAGTACCCCAGACGCACTTCTCAACTTAAGTCATCCCACCTTAATCCCATGGGCCACATCCGCATCAATCTCCCCTTATCGTTGTGATAATTGATCATAAATCATGAAAATATTCACTCTTAGGCAATTCTTGGTTCTCAATCTTCACTTCTCCTCTACTTTCATTGTTATTATTACTAAATTTACACTTCATGTACTATGTCTTAGTTTTGCTTATCTAGAATCCTTTAGATTCAAGTGTTTTTCTCCAAATCTCCAACTTTATGTTAACTCATTCTCTAGTCTCATTCACTAACACGATATCATCTGCAAAAAGTATACACTATGGCACGTTATCCTGAATATTTCTCATCAACTCATCCATAACTAACTAAAAAAGATAAGGACTTAAGGTAGATTCTTGGTGTAGCCTGTTGGCTATATATTTTGTATATGCCAATCGCAACTTAACACGTGGTTCATGAAGGGTGATTTGGGAAATTAATACAAGTCTCCAATCAGCAACAGACAAGTGACAGTTCATAAGAGTAATAGTGGGTCTGCGTTACATAAAAGCAGTTAGAAAGTGTAGGGTAACATGGCCCAATGGTTACTCAAAAGTTCAAATTCAAATACATGAGGGAAGCCTAACTGAAGGAATGACGTAATAGAAGCTGATTATGCGAAGACATGACCAGAGATTGTGGAAGTGCATTTTGACGGTTGGAAGCCCATTTTGACAGTTACCTTTAGGAAGTATAAATAGAGGAAAAGGCCCCAGAATGCAGCCCCCAGACTCAGATCCAGAAATCAGTTTATTTACTTCGTTTTTCCTTTCCAGTTTTGCATTTCCAGTTATTTACGTTTCTAGCACTTCAATTTCTGTACTACACTTTATTTCCTAGGAGCAGTTTCCAATAGTCGCTGCTGTAAAACTTTTTTCAAGGCTAGGTCACTTCATTGTAAGTTCTTATTTACTTAATGAAATTCAATTTTTTGAACTATTTTGTATCTATGATCATTTATAAGTTTCTCCTAAAAAGCCACCAGTAAAAGTCTTCTTCATTGAGGCTGAAAGAACTGCAACATAGTCGTTTGATAATTGGTTGGTAATTAAAATTCTGTAAGGACTTATTGATCCTTATTGGCACGCTTTAAATTACATAATTAACCTTCGAAAGCTAAAAAAGCCAACTTATATTTTTTGGCACGCCCAGTGGGATCTTAAAAATGGCTAGACGTAGAGCAAGATGAGAAAATGAATGCCTGGAAGAGGGTGTAGAAAGAGAGGTAGAAATACCTAACCTAGAGGATAATGTAATGGATGCACCTATCCCACTAGATCATTCGCAAATGGTCAAACAGACCAGCACTTCGAAATATACAACGCATGTCCAACATACTAGATAGGGCCATGAAACTGGACTTGAAACTATCCCTTCTACCCAACCAATAAATCCATGGGGAGGTTTAGTAGATGCTATGGGACAATAACTAATGTATACAATGGAAAGATGGGCAACATCCTTTTTGGATCGAATGAACTCTCATCAACCAACTGGTATAAGACAGGTTGAAGAGAATGAGAATTCCCATTAGCATGGATTGGCTCGAGACAAACAGCCTATGTAAAATAATGGACAAACTAATGCTCAGACTAGTAATCAAAACCATGAGAGAATGTCACCTGTGCCTTAGTCATGGTATGAAGCTCCTTTGAGACCACTAGCAAACCAAAATGTACCATTGACCACTAGCGAAACCATACAAATTGGTGAATTTGGGCCAGCACAAGGGAATGGTATGAGGATGTTTCAAAATCCTATGTTTGAAGCCATACCTGGCACACGAGGTTTCACTAATCTTGTGTTTGAATTTGCACACAGGGGGTTGAAAGGATTTCCTGCGGTTGGAAGAGAAATAACAATTGTTTCTCCTCATTTAGCACCTTTCGTAGGGCTTTTCCCAAGATAGATTCCAAGAGGTTAGTCATACCTACAACAGTAACCAATACAACAAGGACAACCAGCCTTGAATGTGGTTCCTCAAAATCCTGTGTTTGTTCCTTCAGTAATGGTTCAACTAGCACAAAATATGGTTTCAAGAGACCAAATTGCTGATATAGTTAGAGAAATGTCCATATGGCTCGGGGGGTCCAGACACCAGTGTATAGAAAACCTTACCCAGAGTGGGTGGATAAGGTACATGAGTATCCAAGGGAATTTAAAATACCAAATTTTGCCCTCTTTTATGGGAATGAAAACTAGTCAACGGTGGAACACATTGCTAGGTTTACAGGCCAGTGTGGTGAGTTCGCCAATAATGATTACATGAAACTGAGACTTTTTTCAAAAAACCTTACCTAGAGTGGGTGGATAGGGTACATGAGTATCCAAGGGAATTTAAAATACCAAATTTTGCCCTCTTTTATGGGAATGAAAACTAGTCAACGGTGGAACACATTGCTAGGTTTATAGGCCAGTGTGGTGAGTTCGCCAATAATGATTACATGAAACTGAGACTTTTTTCAAACTCTTTAACTGGAGCAGCCTTCGTATGGTATATAAACCTTATACCTGGCTCTATCCAAACTTGGCAACAAATGAAGGAGGTTTTTTATGCCCAATTTTTCTAAACAGAACCTGAGATTTCTATGGCAGACTTGGCAAGATTGAGCCAAAGGCCTAATGAGAAGGCTGCTCAGTTTATTGCCAGATTTAAAAGGGCACGAAACAAATGTAGGGTCATGCTACCCGAGCCTGAATTTGTGAGATTGTCTCAAAATGGGCTGGAGTTTAGGTTTCGAAAGAAGTTTTATTCAACTGAGTTTCGAGACTTAGTAGAATTAACCTATAAGGTGTCCAGATATGAAACTTTACTTGAGAAGGAACAAGATCGAAGTAATGCATCATATAAGACCTACTATAGAGACCCTAACTATGAAATTGATACAGCAGAGATCGTAAGAAAAGAACCTATGACGTGTGAAGCATTAATACAGAAAGACAGTACAATAGACTAGCAATTTAAAAAGGAAGACATTCATAGGAAGTACTCTTTTGATTTAACAAAAGCAGATAACATTTTTGATCATTTGCTTGCAGCAAATTTCCTAAAGTTACCAAAGGGAGTTAAAATCCCTGCCCCTGAAGAACTTAAAGGAAAATTGTACTATAAATGGCACAATTCTTGGTCTCATTCAACTAAAAACTGTATTGTTTTCTGAGACAGGATCTAAGAACAGATTCAGAAGGGAAGGCTA